GCATACTATTTTGAAAGAGGATTTTTAGTTATACATACTAGTGCTATTCGACAGTACTAACGTTCCTTTTGTCGGGGGCGCTGCATCTTTAATGAATGCAGGTGGTTCTACAGCAGGTGTCATTGATCAGTGACAGCAGTATACTCTTTTCAGCTGATTTGGTGAGCCCCGCTTCATTTCGGGGTCATGTATTTGTTTCTCATGTACTATATTTTTAGGTATAGTCGGGGCCTTGTTGCCGATATTTCCATATTACTCTTCTATTGTACTTAGAGGCTCCGTAGATAAGTTGTGGGTTGTGGGAACTGAACTAGATATCTTGGTATTTGGAAATCATATTTTACATTAATTCTATAAACTCGTAATATGTTGGAAATTATGAAGGAAGCTACTAATGGGAATGAAAAAGGAAGTTACTAATGAAATATTTTCAGTGTTTGATTAATGTATTACATCTCCTATTATTTAATGAATGAGTTTGGGTAGAATCAAATCTAACAGACTTGCTCAGTCGGGTTTACTCGGTTGAGCGCCGGTTGCGCTCCCCGAGTTTGGGGCTTGACACATAATATAATCCTCCGACCACAATAGCTGAAATTTTACAAATTTGATGCCCGCAATCTATCTCATGAAGTATATAAATCCTATTCCAACACGAGTAATACTGCCACGACGAAAAAGACGTGTAGAAACTCATAACCACATGCCGAATCAATAATACATGGAGTTTCTCCTCCGAACAAGAACCATTACCTCATTCTGAACTGAACAACGATATTTTTCCTTTAATCTACCTTGTATAAATCTTATTGCCCAAATTTCAGGTCCAATAATTTCGTCTCACCCAGTACAAGCTGCTCAGGCAATAAGACACCTCAAATACTGACTCAGATCTCATATGACGCCATCAATGCACCGACAAGCTACAAACCGAATATGACACATAAGGAGGAACAAACTCTGGAAAAGAATTACCCAGCCCGCGTAACGAATAAAACGGAAGGTTGCCACGAGTAAGTAAGTTTGGAGGACCGAAGGCAGTTCTCCATGCACCGGACACGTAGCTTACCGAATCAGTTGCGATACGGATGGGAAGCCATCAACATTAGAATCACCAATTTGATTCGGAACCGCTACACACCGCTATCTCTGACATCTGCGTCTTATGCACCATTTCACAACACCCTGCCCCGAAGGCAAAAATCAAATAAGACTATAATACTTGCGGACCTTAATACGTACCAATAAGGATGAAGACACCACAACACAAATGAGAATTTCACCACTCTCGAAAGTATCAAGTCTCGTTACTCCATCAACCAAAGGTTGAACATCCATAGTCCGATTACCCTTTTTTTGCTGGAATTAAATGCTAAACCTCTAAATCATGCGCTAAGAAATCCTCCTTTCAAGTCATTCACTGTCTCGATACATAACCAAGAACCTTACCATTACACCATCATTGTGCGATAACAACGCATAGACATTGTAGCAATCCGTGCACAGTCTCAAAAACGTAGAAAATACAGATATTGAGCTGGAACAAAAGAACATCCTTCTACAAGGCGATGATAATAGCATGCCCGAACACGCAGGGAAAAACATCCTGCACCACGTTTGCAGTACCATTACAAATCCTCGATGCCCAATTAATAACAAGCACTTCGCGTCACATAAGATTGAGTAAGAAGGAAATAAAGGCACAAGCCTCAATGGAATCAAACAGCACGATGAGAAAATCAAGAAGGGAAGTGCTCCTAACAACTTTGTAGCCTCTCGAAGATAAGTACAGACATCTCCGTACCGATCTGCAAGACTCTACTAGACTTTATCATGACTCGTGATACCTAAGTGAACCTAACACTTTGATACCAATCTGTCACGACCCAAAATCCACTAAAGGTCGTGATGGCGCCTAACGCCGCCGTCAAGCAAGCCAACGGTAATTGATCAACTAATTACGCATTTTAGTATTTTGTAAACATAAGTTTTCATTAATTAAATAGTATAAAATATAATTTACAGGGTAAAGGATAATATCTACATAAGCTAAAATAATGAACAACCTGTAAGAACCCCCAAAACCTGGTGTCATAAGTGCATGAGCATCAACTAGGAAATATAATAAAATAAAACATCTGTGTGGAATACAAATTAGACAGAAAAATATAAATAACTCTGATGGACACTCTACACGCTGCAGATCATAACATGACATGCTGCTCATTGTAAAGTCCCTGCAATAGCCGTGCCTCGGCGTCCAACAGACCACCAGACATTTATGTACCTGCATAAAAAGTGCAACAAGTGTAGCACGAGTACATAAATCAACGCGTACCTAGTAAGTATCTAGCCTAACTGAGAGAAGTAGTGACGAGGGGTCGACATCAACACTTACTAGTGGTCCAATAAGATAGATACAGTAGAAGTAAACATGTGTGAGTCATAGTAAATAAACGAAATAACAAGTATAATATGTGGCACAATCCTCTTCTCATTAATAACTTAAACTCTCAACTAGTAGATACCTCCTCAATCAGAGTATATATATTTTGGACCTTACCAAATAGGTCGTCACAGTTCAATCAGGAAAAGCGCACAGATATGTTGGCTTCTTGCCAGTTATTATGCAAGTTTTCATAAGAGTAATTTATAGAAATGTTGAGGCGTACGGCCTGATCCATCAAAACATTGCCGAACCATTCATACATTTATTTTATTTTCGAGGAGACGGCACGCTCCCATGAGAGTGTGGTATATAATCCTGCCGAGGCGTACGATCCGATTCATCATAATGTGAGCACTGCCGAGGGTCGAAGGACACAAACCATAGATGTATCTATCCTGCCGAGGCGAATGGCCCGAACCTATTAGAATAAGAACAATGACGGGTCCTTGGCCCCACTCATGAATAGACGTGTGAGTTATAAATTTTAAGGGAAACCTTTCGATGAGAGCACATAACGCGGGAGATATTCATAAGAGGAGTACAATTATGTCGCGGCTAATCATGAAGCCCGTCGAATCTCTACAAAAGCAAGTCTAGCACTCAAGTATAGTCTCAAGTTGCAACGTAAAATAAAAGAATTTAATAGTGAAGAGACAACTCAAATAGTACAGTTATAGCATGGAGGGAACCTAAGTCTACCCGGACATAACATGAATCTAGCTATGCACAGACTCTCATCACCTTGTGCGTACGTAGCCCCCGCAACAAGTAGCACATAATAAATACATCACCTAAGAGTAGTTTCCCCTCACAAAGTTAGACAAGGGTCTTACCTCGCTCCGAAGTTGCAAAACCGGCTCCAACACCTCTCAAACACCTCATTTCGATGCCTGTCTCTTCAAAACTAGACAAACAAATGTGCAAATCTATAAATATATACTTTATTACACATTGTTAATCAAGTAATAACAATCTCCAACTCCGCTCAAAAAGTCGATAAAATCAACCCTCAAGCCCATGTGCCCGGATTCCAAAAATTAACGAAGATAAACTTTATCCATAACACCAAGAACTAAAATATATAACTTATTCCAAATTCCATGTCCAATTTCATGGTGAAAATCCAAAAACACCAAATTCTAGGTTTACTACTAAAATCTCAAATTTCTACTAATTTCCATGTTTAAATCCATATACAAACTATGTATTTAACTTGTAATAGGTGAAAATCACTTACCTTGTGTTGCTTGATGAAAATCTCCCCTTGAAGCTCTACAAAATCTCCCAACCAAGTGAAAATGAAAGAAAATGGGCCAAATCCCGTTCTTAAAAGAACATACTGCCTAGCGAGCTCTCGCACCCGCGGCCACTTGACCGCTCCTGCGGTCACCCTTCAGCCCCTGCCTTCGCATCTGAGGAAAAGACTTCGCTTTTACGGAGTCTCACCTGCGACCAAGAATCTGCTTCTGCGGTCCCGCAGGTGCGGGACAAACCTCGCACCTGCGCCTCTAGCCTGCCTCACTCCCTACCGCTTCTCCAGCCACTGGGCCGCTTCTGCGGTCAGGCAGATGCGGGAAAATATCCTCAACTGCGGCTACTGCTAGTCCCTTCCCATTTCGCTTCTGCAAGCTCGACTGCGCTTCTACGATGTCGCTTCTGCGACTAAGACGTCAAAGGAGTGATCACATTAGCTGATGCCCAGCTTTAGCATTTCTTAAGTCCAAAATCAATCTGTTAACCAACCGGAATTCACCCGAGGCCCTCGGGATCTTAACCAAATGTACCAACACGTCCCAAAATGCAATACGAATTTAGTCAAAGTATTAAACCACATTAGACAACATCAAAGTCATGAACCGCGCCTCGAATCAAACTTCTAAATTTTAAAATTTCTAAATTCTATATCATGTGCCGAAACGTATCAAATAAATTCAGAATGACTTCAAATTTCACACACGAGTCACAAATGACATAACAAAGCTATTCCAAGGCTCGAAACCCCAAACGGACATCGATAACATTAAAATCCACTTCAAATAAAACTTATGAAATTCTAAAACTTTTAAAATGTCAACCTTCCATAATAAGCACCGAAATGCTCCTAGTTGATCCCATACTCAACCCGAACATACGCCCAAGTTCGAAATTATCATACAAACCTATTGGATCCTTCAAATCCCAAATTTGATGTCGTTTACTCAAAAGTCAAATCTTAGCCAATTCTTCCAACTTAAAGCTTCCGAAATTAGAATTTTCTTTCCAAATCAATCCGAACATCCCGAAATTAAATTCCGATCATACGTACAAGTCACAATACTTGAAGTGAAGATACTCAAGGCCTCAAACCGCCGAACGATGCGCTAGAGCTCAAAACGACCGGTCGGGTCGTTACAGTTGTGCTCCAGCTCACTTTAAAATGGGACAATAATGGTCCAACAACTCAAATTTGAATCATGAAGTGTATAGAAGAAAAATTGATCCTATAAGTACACATATTATAGGTTTCTTTAGATGATAAATCTAAGTCAAGGCAAGTTCCTTGAAAACGGCAATGAATGAGAATGGTTCAACTAAACTTCTCCAAGCTCAAACTCAAACATGGAACCATATCTACAACTTCGTAAGCTCTTCAGCAGCAAAATGTGCAGTTCAACTAGGCATCCCCGATGTTGTCCTCCTCGCTCCCCTAAAATCCTATCTGCTGAATTTTTTCATGGTTAAACAGTGGATTCTCCATAATTGGGGAGACGAAGATTGTGTGAAGATATTAAAGAAATGCAAAGAGTCAATTCCAAGTAGAGAAAAAGGCGGGAAAGTGATAATTATAGGCATAGTGCTGGAAAATCCGAAGGAAAAGGATGATTCTGTTCGAGCACAACATAATATGGACTTGGTGATGATGGTTCTTTTTGGTGCCAAAGAGAGAACTAAGAAGGAATGGGAAAAACTCTTCACTGAAGCTGGTTTCAATGAATATGAAATAACTCCCACCCTGGGCACAAGGTCTCTCATTGAAATCTACCCTTGAAGAAATGTGCGTTTACAAAATATGTTAAGCTCTAGTGAATAAACTTGTAAGCTTATTATGAGTCTATTTCTATTTTATCGTATTTATGATTGGCTCCATTCTCACTAGTTCTGTAATTCCAATAAATTGAAATCTACCCTTGAAGAATTCCTGGGATGTGCATTTACCAAAAAATGTAAGCTCTGGTGAATAAACTTATAAACTTATGAGTCTATCTGTATTTTTATTGTATTGTAATAGGTATTAGTGTAAAATACTAGTATTTTCTTTTGTTTGCTATAAATTTCTTTATTTCTTGATATTAACCTTGCTAATCAACTTCATTAGCTCCATTCTCACTGGTTCTGTAATTCCAATAAATTAGCAAATATTGGGAAATTCTTCATTACCAATGATTTTAGTAATAGATTTATAAAAAGTTTGCATACGCCATGTGCGTTCAGCTCTGAAATATCTATTGCATATATAAGCTGCATATAATGACGGCTATTTTCTAGTACTGCTTGAACCAAGCTGTTCCCTGCTTGGTCCCCTCCCCATGACAATGGGGTTACGTTGCAGAGTCCGGACCCAAAGAGTTTCTTTTTTGGACTCAAAGCATAAAAAAAGGTAAAAAAAATTAACTAATCACCAATTTATATATAACGCATGGGTTGAATGCGCTATACCTTAACGGCACAAAAATAGGTGTATAATCTTTTTTTTTTTTAATTCAGCGTACCTATTTTATTTCATTCCAACAGGGAGTACAAAAGACAGAGCAGTTGGCATCCTAAACACTCTGTTCTATAGAGGTGTAATGCGGCAACCAGTACATATGTAGACCTTTGATAAGTGGAATTTTTGACTACTTATTAGCGACTTTTAGCTTTCGTTTTAGTCCAAAAGTGCCTAATTGTATTCCCGAAAACTGATGAAATATGCTTACCTGCAGGAGTATTGGAAAATGAGCCAATACATTGAAATCCAACACAAGGAGGAGTGATCTGAACAAGGACAAAAATCAGGCACAGAAGCTCAAGTGCGGACCGCAGATTACTATCTGCGGACGCAGAGTGTGAAGGAAAATCAACAGAGCCCCGGTGCAAAGTGCGGACCGTACAATTGTTGTGCGGCCGCAAGAGCTACGTAAGAGACAAAGTTTAGAGAGTTTCATTTCAAGCTCAAGAAGAAATGTGGACCGCACAATAATTATGCGGCCGCAGAAACAGCTATACGACCGCACTTAGGAAATGTGCGGTCCGCAGAAGAGCCTAGTGTGACCGCACCCAGAATTGTGCGGACCGCAGAACATGAGAGATGCGGCCGCAATCCAGAATTGTGCGGCCGCAGAATTAACTCCTGTCAAGATCTGAAGAAAAGTGCGGACCGCACGTATAATTGTGCGGCCACAGAACCTCCGAAAGGGCAATTTTGTTCGAAAATTCCAGCTTTGTATAAATAGACTACTTTCACGAAATTAGGTGAAGTTTTGAATATTGAAAGTCCTGTAGCCGTTTTTACTTGCCTCTTTAGGCAACTTTAACTTACTTTGGTGATTTAACATTGGATTTTTATCTTTTAATCTTGCAATATGAGTTTTATCATCTTCTCTTCTTTATTTTCTTCTATACCCATTATGAGTAGCTAGATTTTTAGCTAGGGTTGTGACCAAACCCTAGTGTGTGAATCTAATAGATGTTTGATTTATGACTTGTTTATGGTTGTGTGTTTATTATTTAACCTTGTTCTTGCCTTTAATTGTAGAATTAATGGTTGCAAATATTAGTTCATGCCTATTTGACTTGGCCTCTACTTGAGAAAGAGAGACTTAATCTAGGAAAATATGGCTAACAAGAATCTGTGATAAAATCAAGAGATTGATAGTCCCAATTAAAGGGTTGAATATAGAAATAGTAAAACCCGACTTGAGCATTTTATCAACTGTTTTGTTCAATACCCATTTGGACTTGAGAAAGCCAAATTGGATAAAATCACTCTCTTACCGAGAGGTATTGAGTGGGTATTTGAGTGTTGATTGCTATAATACACATAACAATACAAGCATTAAAGTTTACAACCCGTTAGGCAAATACCTAGGTGAAGGGCATATCCCTAAGACTTTTTATATAATTTAAAACCATACAAAAATAATATTCTCTTGTTTTATATCTTTAGAATTGTAATCCTTAATGTAATTTTAGAATTAAAAATAAAACCCTATTTGTGGAAGTGCAACCAAGATACTTCACGTGGTTTATCCAAATATATACCACTAATCCCATCTAAGCTCCCTGTGGATTCGATCCCGACTCCTTGTTGGATATTATTATTGCAATCGACCGTTTCACAACCCCGAATAGAGGTGTGACTTGGACGAGATCAATTTTTGGCGCCGTTGCTGGGGACCATAAAAACGAATTTAGCTATATATTTAATTTTGTGTGTGAATTATCTTCTTTTTCTTCCGTGTTACTAATCTTTTTGGTGAAATAATTGTAGGTGAAACAATGGCTCTCAGCAACAATGATCCTCTCGGAAACATGCCTTTGGGGGATGTGGACTTGGAAGATAACCAAGTTGAAGAGGTTTCTCTTAAACCTCAAGCAAATAGACGAGGCCGACCGCCTCAAGACAACGTCCCCTTTCCACCCCCAAATCCACCAAGAGCGGCTCCACACTGGGTGTTGCCGAATGAAGGATATGTAAGTGCCATAGTCCCGCCCCGCATTAGGGTGGGCAACTTTCAAATCACAAATGTTATGCTCACATTGCTAGAGCAACGGGGATTCTTTACCGGGGCTCCGAATCAAAATACGTATAAATACTTGGAAGGGTTTGTGGACACTTGTTGGGGGAGTAAACAGACAAACATCTACGAGAATGCTTTAAGGTTGAGGCTATTTCCTTTCTCTCTACTGGGGAAAGCTTTGGATTGGTTAGAAAGGTTACCAAACTATTCCATCCATACATGGGATGAGTTGGCGGAGAAATTAATTTTCAAGTTCTTTTCTCCCGGGCATATGGCTACTCTTAGAAATGAGATTCTAGCATTCAAACAAGAACCCAATGAGTCGTTGCATGAAATATGGGAGAGGTACCGAACTATGGTGAAAGAGTGTCCAAACAATGACATGACAGAGGCTATGATTCAACAAACTTTCTATAGGGAGATCAGTACTACCAATCAATGCATGGTCAACCAACTTGCCAGTGAAAATTTCATGACAACGCCATATGCGGAAGCTTGTGAGATCTTAGATGAAATGGCTGATACTTCATCGGCATGGCAAAGTAGAGCAAATGTTCCTCAAAGTGATCCAAACGTGATTCACCTACATAAAGAATTGCATAATCATGGGCAAGCAATTACCGAGTTGACCAACAAGTGCAAGGTCCTAAGCAAGTCAATGCAATGGAGGAAGTTAATATGATGGTAAATAAGAGAAGGCAAAAGGGTCCTCAAGTGCAAAACCGTGCGGAACATTATGTGCAAGAAGATAGTGGGTTTGATCAAGATGAATCTTACAATGACCAATTCTTACAATATGTGAACAATTTCCAAGGGCAAAGAAACAACTCTCAAGGCCCGAATCAACAACAATGGCGACCTCATGGTAATCAAGGAAATTGGAATAATCAAAACAACCAAGGGAATTGGAACAATCAAAACAATCAAGGAAATTGGAATGGTAAAAATAACCAAGGCAATTGGAGTGGCAATAGTCAAGGATATTGGGGAGGCAATAACAAGGGGGTGGAACAATAACCAAGGAAATCGGTGGTCGGGCTTTCAAAGGCCCCTGATGTATCAACAACCAAGCAACCCGCATCCTTATCCTTCCAATGGTCCAAGCTCTACCAATAGTGAGATGGGGTGAATTGAGAACATGTTCAAACAAATGATGGAGAAGAATGCCGACTCCGATGCCCAATTAGCTTCTCACAACACTTCAATTCGCAATTTGGAAGTTCAATTGGGGCAAATCTCACAAGCTTTAAACACTCGTCCTAAGGGGGCACTACCAAGTGACACGGTGGTGAACCCAAAGGGTGGGAACAACACGGGACATGCCATGGCTATTACTACAAGGAGTGGAAAAGGTGGGGATGCACCCACCTCAAGTCAAAGAAAAATTATGGATGATGAGCAAGTGGTACAAGAAGATGAGATCCCGAACAATGTGGTGCAAGCAAATGATGAAGTAAGAATTGATATTGATGACAATGTGGAGGAGACTCAAGAGGAAGTGAACCCGTCTAGAGAGCACATTGTTGATATACCGGAATCGGTAGTGCCAAAGGCTAAGGCACTAATGCCAAGACCTCCTCCTCCATATCCTCAAAGGCTTGCCAAGAAAAATGGAGAGAATCAATTCATAAAGTTCATTGACATGATAAAGAGTCTATCTATTAATGTTCCATTGCTTGAGGCATTGGAGTAAATGCCCGGTTATGCAAAGTTTGTGAAGGACTTGGTGACAAAGAAGCGGTCGATGAATTGTGAAACTATAAAGATGACTCATCAAGTGAGTGCAATTGTGAACTCAATGGCTCCTAAATTGGAAGATCCCGGCGCTTTCATAATCCTTTGTACTATTGGAAGTGCCGACTTTGCTAAAGCTCTTTGTGATCTTGGGGTAAATATCAATTTGATGCCCTATTCGGTTTTTAAGACTTTGAGAATTGGGCAACCAAGACCCACATCTATGAGATTACAAATGGAGAATCGTACCATGAAGAGACCGTTGGGTATCATTAATGATGTGTTGGTTCGTGTTGATAAATTCATTCCCCCGGCGGATTTTGTGATTCTTGATTGTGAAGTGAATTATGAGGTGCCGATTATTCTGGGTAGACCTTTCCTTGCTACGGGGAAGGCTCTTATTGATGTGGAAGCCGGTGAACTTATTTTTCGGGTGGGTGATGAAAAGGCGGTGTTCCGTGTGTGCAAATCTATGAGGCAACCGAATAGCAATGAAGTGTGTTCGTTTGTGGACTTGGTGACCAATGTGATTTTT